CTGATGCAATGTCACATACGAATTACTATCAACATAATAATTCGTTCTTTTAAACAACTTCCATTACAGACCCAATCACTTTAATATTGACAAACTGCATATTTTTTACTATGATGAAATTCGATATAATGAAATATTGATAATTACAACACAGTATCTTTCCTAATATAAACTAATCATGTTTTGACTTCACACAAAGTAGATATGTTACGTTTAAAACTATACACAAAAAAAACGTTTTTAAAGACCAACAATTGACCTGTTAAAGGGAACTCAGCTTCCTATACACATTTTATTCATTATATCATTCAAGTAAGAATTTCATACATTTCTGTGATTTAAATATTTTACTCAAGGATGAGCATAAGTATAGGTTGAAGTTTATTAGTACGTATTTACAAAATTAAATTGGTCAGGCACGGCGCGACCAATTTAATTTTGTAAATACGTACTAATACATTTTAACCGGCTTAGTATTTTAAATTATTTTTGGACACTCTCACTTTATATGTCTCCGCCCTCTTTCGTCACGCGACCTGTCAATATCTGCGACGTCTGATCTTTTACTGCCTCATGCAAATTAGAATCTCTCTTCGCTGGCCTCTGAATAGTGAAGGTCAAAGAATTATGTTTAATGTTGATAGTTATAATGTTTATAAGGACATTGGGATTCGCATTCATGAAGAAGGGTTGTGTTTACTGGTTTAACAAATAAAATAAAAGTCGTCTACGAACGAATAATTTGTTAGATAGTATATAAAATATAATAACTCATAATGGTATTTATTTTATATATTTATCAAATTCGAGAAAAAGGTGCCGAAAAGACCAATGTTTTGAGGCCCGAAACGTCCAGGAGGTGTAAAGTTCTGAACTTAGCCATTGTCTTGAAAATATGATGCACAGCGGGTCTGCAGTATATGTTTCGTTCGCTTCTATGTAAATGATTTGATGATTTACTCGATGATATGCTAAAATTTCTACCATTCTGTTTATTTTGTTAACACCGGAAGCAATGTCGACGTAATAAACGTCTATCTATGACTAAAATATTCCTGGGCTACAGCAAAGTATTTTTTCAGAAATGCGTTTAAAGACAAACTCGTTAAATTATTTTTTAAATAAATAATAGCTTATCATTTCAAATATCGTTTGTTGAGGCTGAACGACAACAAATAATTTTGTGCCAGGTTGAGAGCATTACAGCTCTAACATAAACCCGTTTAAAATACATGATTATCTAGCTATCATGCATTAAATCAAATCGCTAAATGATCCAGCTGAAATTGTTAAAAACTTATATGATAAGGATATTTTATTAAATGCTTAGAAACGTTTTTATTTTGCGTGCGCTTTATCGTGCGTTTTGCGTGTACACTGAAACGTTCACCCTACTGTATAATGAGTGAGAGAATTATTAAAGAAAACAACATGCTTTCTTCTTCATAAGTGCATGGGATATCAAGCTTAGGGATTCATCATTTGAATCTTGAGTCGGGTCAGGCCTTCAGCTTTGGATTAAGAGTGGTAAATACTCCAGATTCGGACAGAACATATATAATGTTCCTCACTCATTAGATGTCACATGGTGCTTATCTCACAATTCAATTGTACAGAAGCATAGTTTTAACATTTATGTTTATATACATACTTGCTACCACATTGAAGAAGTTCCAGGTAAGAATTGAATTGCTATTTATATCATTTGGGTACACCTGGAAAAACGATTGTGCCATTGTCAAGATTGAAGCGCCGTCTGTTTTGAAACGGAACCGGTATTGCTGGTTCCTTCTATATTGTAATTTCTAAGTAGCTGAATACTTGTATTATTGGTACCCTTTTTAAATTCTAAATTCTAACTTTAGAATGTTATGAGGCAAGTTTCCTATTATTACTTCTAACTTCTAAATGATGTTGTATAGAAAATGTAATAATGACTCGTCGATGCTAAATAGAAAATTTGTAAAGTATATTATGAAAATCACAGTAAGTAATTAGTAATTAGCAAGTTAGGACATAGAGAAGAAAATACGGCGAAAAAATAAAATTTCAAGCATTAACAATTTAAACTTACAATATATTTATAATACATTTTGAGTTCAGGATTTGTGTGACAAAATGATATGATTCACATAACTGATTATCTAAAATTTCATACAAACATATAAGAAAATGTCAAATAGAAATTAAAAACTAGGACAATGAATATTAGAATATAAATTTGCCAAATTAACCATGTAATGTACATTCAAGAACAATTAAGTCATTTAAATGAATAGCTTTCACTTTAAAATGTAAGAAAAGTTCATTTACATGAATGGATGTTAATTTACAAGCAAGAATAAGTTAAGTTCCATAACGGCGGATATCCCATTCCATAAGTAAAAGCATAACAGCACTTCAAATTTGTAGAACAAAAATTGTTTCAACATGAATGAATCTAAGCACATTTGCCTTACCTAAACTGATTCAGTGCAAATGGTTTCCCGTTTGTAAGTGTTCACTTCCATCAGACGGGGAAATTGAAGCCTTTTAATCTTATTCTTTAACACATTTTCACAGTCTTTACCCGACAACCTTCCAATTTTTATCCATGTGCACGAAAGGAAAGGTGAGAGAGAGCATTAACAAATAGGATCTCCACATGAAAATCTCAAACATTTCTGTCAGAAGCTAAGTATGAATTATAATAACAGACAGGACTTTAATTACGAAAGTACTTAAAATAATAAAAAAAATATATGAAAATGACACAACAAGCTTAATCATTGACTACTCAATTTATCTTGCAAAACCTCGGGGTAAAGTTGATATATATGACTTAAATTAAAAGTGTACATATTACTATCGTTTCTTTGAAAACTTTGAAAATCAAAAGAAATGAGTGAGATCTTAAGAATTCACAGTAACGTAAGCAAACAATATTTAGAATTATCAAACATCACATATATATGTTCAAACAAATTAATTTGGAAATACACGCACGAGTAGAAAAAAACGGAATACATCTTCAAAAACTTGCAGCAATGGCATTTTAAAGTTTTTTAAATAGTACTCACCTATAGTTTGTCGAACATTTAAAACCGTAAAAGCTACCACTCTTGTGAGACACGATCAAAGGTACTGTTTTGTATTTGGCATTGCTGAAAATGAATTATGATTTATTCAATTAGGTGTACAAAAGACAAAAACGTGTCTAGAAAATTAATATTTTAGTTTTATTTTGTGCTTTATCTCATTTGTGATTTAATATGATTATACGCACTAAACAAAATGAATGGAACACAAATCCATTGCTGTGTGTTGATATGTGGGCAATTTAAGTTGATTGTAACGGAACATTAGAGTGGCATAGTGTTAACAGAGAACCGGATAAATACTTCGGTACCAAAACGGAAGTGCCGTTTGTGTGTAATTAAACAAAGAAGTCACTAGACGTTGTTATAGGAACAAAGAAGTAGTCAACAGTCACATAGCAATTGTGTGGACTTAAATGTATCTACATTTGTATAAAAAATATTATTTTACATTGTCTTATTATAAAACATTATCGATATGAGCTTTCTACTGTTTACACGTTCAAAGTTTGTAAGCGTACTATATTCTGTATTTTGCATCTTACTATTGTTACTTATAGAAACATTAATTCATATGTTTATTTTCTAAAAATTGTGACTATGAGCTATAATGACTGTGTCAACTGTGTTTTTTTGATATTTGTGAAAGAATAAAGTTTCATTTTCTTCTACATGTTTATCTTTCCATATTTCATAATTCAATTTTTTATGTGGTCCGTCAGTTTTATTCAAGAGTGGGAGCAAAGAAACAAGGGTTTAATGGGGTATTTTTTGTTTCACACCGCTGATTTATAAACCAGGTGTAATCAGCGGATAAATTTGATATTACTGTTTAGATATCTAGAAAAGCCAATTAGGTAAATCTGATATTGTTAGAAATGTGTTTATGCTTAAGTCAATGTAGCAAGCACTTAAAAATGGTATAAACAATAGTTCATTACCACTGAACCTCTCCTAACCTTTTTAGTTTTATTTTTTCGTTTGACACACGCATCATTTATCGTCGCCGCTTTTTTGTCATTAAGTATTGTTAAAGCCATAACTGTATTTATATACAAGTAGAATTTATATTTTAGATGATTATGATGGAAAACCGCATTCCATTCTGACATTTCTGGCACATTGATCTTGCATGGTCTCCTGTTCATTTTTAGATTTACCCATTGAAAAGTAAAGATAATTACATAAAGAGTTCTCCGCATTGTCATCAACTAAAATCGTCAAAGTTTGTGTCTGTTATTAGGCAGCAAATCAAATCGATACTCGTGTAAAATTAAATCTATCTCAAATATGATTTGATATAAAACAACGTGGATGCGTATTTGAAGACTTAATGTATCTTTTCACACACTATTCAATTGCATCCATTTTTATCTAATTCAGTTCTTTATATAAAACCAACTAGGTTATTCCATTTCATAATGCAATCAGAAAATTACAGAAACGAAAAATTGTCTAGGCATTGAGAAAATGGAAAGTTCGTTACCTGGACGTTACCAATATATTTGCGACTCTTGAGCACATTTGTCACTAATAAAAAGTACGTTTGTAAGCGTAATACACTTAGCGGCTCAAAATTGAACATCTTGTAATCATCCATTGTATAAATAGATTGATAGAGAAAATGGCAGAAGTTATCATTCTGTGTTCAACATTTGTATCCATTTTAAGCATGTAGAAATTCATAACAACCGGATGTATCAAAGTTCGATTTTTAAATATTTGTAATTTGGACATATTGTTTGTTTAACGTAACGTTCTATTTTATTGGTCTGGTAACACACTATTTCCTGTTAAGTCACTTTCGATTAGTTTCATATGCTTTATTGTCACGCTTTATGATGTAATTTAAGTCTCGAGGTCAAGGACACTTTCTATTGGCCTTTAATCGTGAGTCATATAATAAAACGAAATATTTGAAATTGTCCAAATTTGTTATTCTAAATATCGTATAGATTTCATCATAACAGTGTTCGAAAGAAATAAACTTCCGACATTTTCAGATGGTATAAATTTCCCTGTAAAATACTTATTCAACTACGCATATAGATATTATCATGGGTGTTGATTAGAGGATAAGCAATCATCTAATACTTATAGTAAGTTTGTTATTTATTTTTTCTACTTCTTAAATTTGTAAATTTTATAAATTGGATCATAGTAAATTTAGATACCTACAAAAGGATCTATCCTGATGAATATGTACAATATCATTTAAATCTCGAATTTTAATAAGCGTAAAATAAACGAATTAAAATAAATTGAGTGACTTTAAATTGCAATCATTTATCATTTAAACTTTTTAACAAACCTGACAAGTGTGTTCACGTATTAGCTTGTAGTCCCTGCTTTGTATAAATGTCATATCTAAGAGAAAGATATGTACAACCTGTTTTTTTCTCTTTTCATATTTTCTCTACGGGAGAAAATATAACAGCGGATATTCAAGTTGAAACAATCAACTTTTCTATTGATTTCATGTTGTTGCATGGTTGAATATGATTAAAGGGTAAATAGATTAATCTTGCTATATTTTATAAAAGTTATTTACAGTAAAATTATGTTATTTCTATTAGATAATGGTCGATTCTCCAAACAAATAAATGTTTTTATTATTTTACAACCGTCAATATTGTATATTCACTAAATACAATATAGGGAACAAAATATCATAATTTTAGTAAGGTGTTAACCGTTTAGTATTGATTTCTTTCATAAGCAGTAAAATTTATAAATATCAGCCATTTACTAATTTCTCTACTATGCGCTCTCCTTTGTTTTCTTGTTGAAAAAGAAAAAAATGTAACATTTATCTTAGTTTGTTACAATGTACAGTACATGGCGTGTGCAAATAGTTTTGTTTAATGGCGAATTAAGCCTGAAATGATGATATTGATTTTTTAAAACTTGATATCTTGCAACAGATTTCTTAATGCAACCCATTGGCTTAATTGCTAAGTCATCTTTTGCTTCGTTTGTATTAATGCGTCAAGTAAAGCTATGTAGTTTAGTATTTTGCTTTGGAGTCAAAACACGTTTTGCTCAAATTATAAGAAATTATTTCTCAGTCGACGCTTTAAAATACAGGTTATAATCATTCAAATGTTCGAAATTACATAACATTTGCCCTTTCTGCAGTATTTTATTTTGTAAATTTCATTTTGATGTTACACTTAATCTATAAAGCATGAAATGAAGTTAAACACTTAAGCTAATGTGAGTGCATCATCCGTTCAGTATATAAGTGTATCCGTTTCTTACATGTACAAACAAAGTTTGCATGTCAAAGTATTTTGCATGATTAATACACTTCAAAGAGTGATTATAATTTTAGATATGAATAAATCCATTAAAAATTAAATAGTGTTAACATTCACCGTATCATTCAAAGCAAACTTATTTTAAAATGGGTATTATTACCAGACCTTGGTGAGTCCGTATGTTGTTGTTATAATCGTAGTTTGTAGATAAAAATCAATAAAACATCACTAAAATACTGTTTCTGTAGACAATTTAAGAAACCAACTACGTTATATACCTTTATTCGTGGTGGCCAACCTGCGTTACTTTTGGATAAAATAACATTGATCATATATATTTTTTTTAACTTACAGTATTTATAAAACAAATTCTGTCAGTAAAGTTCTTAAGAAACCTTAAAAATCTAAAGAAACTTACAGTCTAAGTCGGCTGAGGAAAGTGCCCTAAACGTATTGTATACCTTTTATTTGAGGAAACTTTAGTTCGTATTTAAAAGAAAAAGACAAAAAAATCTGCTTTAATCAGGGTTATATTCCACCTAACACTAGTTTTTAATCTACTTAGATTCGTCACCCTGTCGTTTATAAAGGGATTTATTCACACGACTTGGTGGTAAATAAAATAATTTAAAATAAAATAATTTAAAATAAAATAATTAAAGTATTAAAGAATATGAGAAAGAAGTCCGGAAGAAATGCAAAAAATTCCTGAGGGCAATGCCAACAATAGTAAAAGGTGAAAAACTCAGACTCATTCTGACCGAGTCTTTCGACTTGGTTTGCAAGCACTATTTGTTTGTGTGTTTTGTTTGGTCATATGGCACCGAAAGAGGAAGGATCATTTTGGCTTACCTCGGGTGTTGCAAATTAAAAGCAATACCATGCGTCAAAACCACCTCACCTGCAGGAGCTAAGAGCTGCATAGACTCTTGATATTCGAACACATCTAGTCGCCTCTTACGATTACGCAGGGATAAATATTGTTTGTATTTTTAAGGCAACTCATTTGTCACTATGGAAATAAACCATTTGCCGATATTTGTTTAGTAGAATATGGTATCATGTTTGATTTTCATAAGACCGTGTGATGTTTGCTTTCCTGAAACCACAATTGTTTACCTTCCATGCCTTATTTGTTGACTTCAGGAGTTTTTCCAAATGTCAAGCAATTAGTTAGGACCAATGTTATCAATATATGTCAGAAAAATCTGAATACAGTGTGATCCCCCTTGCAAGCATTAAAATAATACATGAACGTTGCAGACTCGGTTTGATTGATTATGTACAAAAAGTGCAACATCTCTGACCCCCAAGAACACATAGAGTTTTGTAACACTTGCTTTACCTTCTTTTGCTGTCTATATATAATTTATTCTTTAATTCATTCATTTCAGCTTAATTATTCATTCTTTAATTTATTTATTTCAGCTTTGATAAACATAACATCGGCAACACTCGCCTGCTGCTGAGGCAAACGACAATCATTGTTAGTCAATACTAGTCACTAAATTTAACAAACACATTAACATGAATAGGGGCATAACAAACTGTCATTAAAAAGACCATTGTCATACAAACATTTACTAGGAGAACTTGACAGTCCCATGTTAAAATATGAACTTAAAAAAACATGTCTATATTGTTGTGTAATATTTTAGCACAACGTCGGCCACAATGGCAAGAAAGAGATAAAAAAACATTTAAAAAACTCCTTAATTATGATCTGATAACAAATCATGTTTGATTGTTAAAAGAATTTGATATTAGAATCCATTTAATTTCGAAAATGTTCTTATTTCTTCCTCATGATCTTTTTACATGTCAATAATTTCATTCCTTTACCCGAAATAATGTTCCAAGAAATCGTAATCGAATAAAAGTAAACTTACTCAAATCCTTGTCATAAACTGTTGAACTTTAGAAGCTATTTTTTTCCTTCAATATTAAGATGTATTTACGATTACGATCACGTGTATCCACCATTTATTAAGTTGCGTGCTATTTAAGAAATCAAACGAAAGTCCATTTATATATGCTATGAGCTTAATTCAATATAATCTTATCAGAATGTTTATTAACTCTTTTACTGAGGTTTTATGCATGTAACCCATATTTTAGTGCTTAAAGAATCAGCTAAATAATTCACATTTTTAATGTCTTTTTTCTTTTATGCTTATACATGTTTACCATTTACCTTCTTTATGGAATGAGTACAAAATATGCATTGTAATATACATGCATTAAGAGATTCACTGTCATATAATCTAGGCAACTTTTATGATTTAGGCTATTACAGAAAGGAGTTACTTTTTAAAAAAAAATCTTTTTATTAACTCAAAATTTAAAAAAATAACATCCAGCATAAATATAGGTAACACATTAAAAGTATGCATTATCCTCAACCATCCAATCGTAAAAACATCAGTATGAAATGTTTTTATCATTTAATCATTTTTTATCATATATGTTTTATTCTGTATGTCTATCGTAAATGATATAATCTAATCTATCGCCATTGCCTTGTAACATTCCATGTGTTATTGTAGAAAATATAAACATCCTGAAAATCCGAAGATAACGATGACTGGTATCCCTATGGTAACACTTCTTTTAGTAGGCTTGTCTTTTGGAAATATCTGTAAAAAGGGAGAGACAAATTACACAACTTACCAATAGTAAGTATCAAAAACATTTATTATATAAAATGAATTATTAATACCACATGTGTCTTGTCTACTATTTATGAACAGATGTCTATCGTCTATACGACTTGAAAATAATACCAATATTAAAGTAATAAAAGAAATAACAATGTGCTAGAAGATGTTTCCTTCATTTCAAAAACAACACACAGAGAACACACAAAGAAAGATTGTGTGTTTGTTGGAAGTGCTTTCTACGTTTTGTAAGCAATTATTAAGTTATACTTTAATGTTCATATCAGAACGGCTATTGTTTCATTGGATTCACTTACAACATGATAATCTCTTATTTACACAAATACCTCAGGTTTTCCAATTGCAACATATAAATATAATGAAATAGAGAAAAGGGTCCTTAAAGAACGCCAAAATGGCAAAATTAAAAATCTTGCAGGTTTAGTTTGGTGGACTGCAGTGGTATGTGTAAGCTACCGTCCAGGCCTCGTTGCACCAGCTGGATCAGAATTCAACATTTGTCGTGCCATCTGATCAAAAGCAGCATATGGCCTCACGTGAAAAAGGCATATGTCATTGACGAAAAAACAGTGGGCGGTTCTGAACAAATCGAAATTTTGAAAGGAGATCAGATATTATGAAGGCCGCATATCACTGACAGGCTCAAAAAGAATTATAGTTTAAAAACAGGCAACATATTTTTAATGTGTTTGTAAAGAATTAATAAGTTTGGCATTTATTCAGCCCTTAGGAGGACTATGTTGAAGGATTTAAAAATTTTGATTTCACATTGATCTTTATATTTTTATAGGGGAGATTATTTCGGGGCGTTGTTATAGAAAATTGAAAAAAATATTTGCTCTTTTGTTAAATATTACATATTCCTGCAAGTCCAATTTGAAAGTAAAAAGAGATATTTAATGTATTTCTCTCATAAAAACCTTAGAGTATTATGTTTATTTATGTCAAATGTCACCCCCTGTGAATCTAAACAACGCTCAGTGACTTTCCACATGCATTTACAACAAAGTTTAATAATTTGTCTTATAATACTTTAACGCTTTTGGACAACCAACATAACACATGATGTCTCCCAATGTTTTTATTTAAACAAAAGAAAAAAGAAATTCCTAAAGAGCGCCTAAAATTGCAAATTTTAAATGTCACAGGCTCGGTTCATTGCGTATGGTCACTGATGATAGCGGTAACTGCAAATGCAAAGCTATGTGACTATTGTCTACTTCTTTGTTTCTTTAACAACGTCTAGTGACTTCTTTGTTCAATAACACACAAAAGGTACTCGCGTTTTCTTACCGAAGTATTTATCCGGTTCTCTTTTTACTACCTTGATGTTCCTTTACAATAAACTTAAAGCGCCCAAATAACAACACACAGAAAATATGCTCAAGCTCTTATAATCATAAATAAATTGCACTTGCATGGTAATACAAAATGGTCTGCGGTCCTTGGATAAGATAAAACTACGTTTGTGTAATAACGCTTAACCCTTTCGCTGCCAGAGGGTTATTGTTTTATTGTTCACCTATTTGCCAGAGGATTTTCTAAGAAATTACTATATTATTAATTAATATAATTATTATTATTTGTTATTAGTATTATAATAATTATATATGTTTCCAAATCTGTTAGTATAATAATAATTATTGTCGATGGTATAATTTTCTTTATATTTATTATTATCTTTATTATTATTATTATTAATTTATTATTATTACTATTATTATTATAGAAACGGCTAAAGCCGTCCATATGGCAAATACGCCGAAAATAACAGGGACGGCTTAAGCCGTCCCTATGGCAGTGAAAGGGTTAAAGAATAATTTAGATAATAGAAAAAAAATCAATGGACTTTGTGGATTTCCATATAGATGCGCATAAAAGAATTCAGAGTCTTTAAAAAAAGTTAATTGGCACTTCATGTTATGTTCACATAAACAAGGGAGGTAAATAAGCTCGTTTAAATGCTGTTCATATTTCTTTACTATTCAGATTTTCACACAAATCTGTTACAAAACAAAATAAAACTAAAATATGAATTTTCTATGCAAGTTTTTGTCTTTTTGACTTCTAATTGAAGAACTTATAATTGATTTTCAGCGGTGCAATATACAAAGCAGCGTCTTTGATCGTGTCTCACAGGACTTGTCATAAATTCGTTTTTAAATGTTGGACAAAATATAGGTGAGTACCTTTTATGAAACTTTATAATGCCAATGCTGCAAGTTTTTGAAGATGCATCTTGTTTTTATACACGCGCGTGTATTTCCTATTTAATTTGTTTTAAAAGTTTGATAATTTTTACATAAAATGTCTAAATATTGTTTGTTTCCGTTACTGTAAATTCTTAAGATCCCACAAATTTGTTTTGACATTCAAATCATTGAACGTAACGAAAGTGATATGTGCGCTTTTAATTCTAAATCCATAATAATTGTCATATCACGTTTACCCCGGGTTATTTGCAAGATTAATTGAATAATCAATGATTAAACGTGTTTTGTCATTTTCATATTACTTTTCTTTTATATTGTTTTTGCAACTTTCGTAATTAAAGTGCAATCTGTGAATGTTCATACTTAGCTTCCAACAGAAATTTTCTAGGTTACCATGTCGAGATCCTTTTTGTTAAATAAATGTTCTCTCAATCTCACCTTTCGTATTTTCCCATGAATTCCTGCCGTGCGCATGGATATAAATCGCATGGTTTGCCTAGTAAAGACTGAAAATGCGTTAAAGAATTAAATTTAAAGACTTACTTTTCCCCATCTGTTGGAGGTTAACACTTAAAGATGGCAAAATATTTGTACTTAATCAATTTCAGATACTGTTATATGTGCTAAGATGCATTCATGTTGAAACAATTTTTGTTCTACAAATTTGAAGTTCTGTTATGCTTTCACTATGTTGATAACTTCACAAGAAGTCGTGAGAAAAGAGAGATATATTTGATTCAAATCAACCAAAACTTGAGTATTTTGTTCCGTCTTTCAGAACAGTCACGAGGTTAATTACTGTAAAAGCTAGTTATATGGTTGTTAGATGCTGCCCTGGCTTCGATACTGTTAATGATGAATGTAAGCCAGGTAAATAAAAAGTTCATGCATTTTAAAGATTCATACACATGACACAATGACAGACAGTATTGGAATATATTTAATAATCCACAATGTCGTAAACTTAATTCTGCAGGTGGTTCTGCAGGTGGGACTACATAATTGTTTTGGAGTATAAGATACCCATTGTATAAATGAACCCAAAAAAATTTGTATAACATTATATACCGTGGCAAAATCATGAGTTTTGATAAGTTATCCAATAATCAACGAAATGACGGGATCCAAAATGCCTGCGAACGGCTGAATGCGTGTAAATGACTATAATTAAGATATTTTAAAAGAAAATCTGAATTCGAAGCTTTGCAGTGCAATGAACCAATGCAGTGTGCGAGGAATATATTAGGAGGTAGCCGACTATGGATAGACCTGAACTCAAAGCGCGCATAACCTGCTATTATATAAGTTATTCTTCCCGTAAAATACTGTGCGATAGAGAAAGTGGAGATATTCATAATACCCGTGGTTGCTACAGTTATATAGATCATTCTCGGCATGATATACACGTGACGTCATTCGGTTTTTCATTGACGTTATAACAATTGCATCAAAAAAGAAGAAATATCTTTATCCACATAATTGCTCTATCTATAGATAAAGTAACAAATATTCCTCGAATGTTTTACTTTTAAGAATCAACTGACATTCAAGCAAGTAATTTCTGCTCAAAATATTGTTATTTAATATACTGTATTTATGTCGCTTGCGAAGAGAAACAAAAACGATTTACCAGCTTCTTTGGCTTGGTTAGATCGTGTAAAAAATACAAAGTTTATCCGTTCTTTTAAAGTTAAACGTGAATTTTTTTTGTAGGTTGTGAAGAAGGCATGACTGGTGCTAAATGCACCCATAACTGCAACTCGTGTCCGGCACATTGTGACATGGGAACAGGTTCCTGCTTTTGTGAGCCAGGATACTTTGGTTACAATTGCACGAAAGGTATGTTGTCAAGGTGATTTTAAGGCTAAAACATTATCAAGATGTTAAAACTAAAAATATTTATTTCATATAAAGGGCCGTTCTGTTAGTGTTATCAGATATGGATCAAATTTACATCTAGGGTTTTTAAACAGAATTACCTTATATTCGACGAATAACTCTAAATTATGTTTACCCAAAAACCTCGGAAATATTTTAATGTAAGTTAGAATAATATCTTCAAACTATTTCTTTTTGTTTTAAAGAATGTTCAAGAGGTTCTTATGGTGTAAATTGCGAACAAAAGTGTGGATGTAGTAATAACAGCACGTGTAATGTCGTTGACGGATCTTGTAACTGCACGTCTGGTTGGCATGGACCATTGTGTGATAACGGTACAATCTAATGATAGTAGATAGGCAAACAACATTGTAAAATTGCGGTAAAAATATAGTCTAGATAAAAATAGAGTGGATTCTGTAATTTGGAATTTACCTCATTAACATGGACACGAAAGTAAGATTATATGATAAACAGCATTTATAATCGGACAATGGGACTATGTAATATGGTCATTTTATATAGCTAATAAAAAAGATATTGGAATTGTAAAAGGGATAATATTTTGGGTCTAGCAGAAAATATAGCATGTATGTATTAAAAGGGAATTTTCAAAATGAAGGTTACTAACATCGTAGGATTGTGTGTTACGTGTGGTACGTGTGCTATTTTATTCTGGTTGGTCTGGCATTGTTTATTCATGATCTTATCTTAGTGTATTTGCTAGAATAATTGCTAAATTTTAGATTATGGGCATGAGTGTTGCTTTTAAATCGTCTTTACAGTAATTGAGAAAAGTAGAAATATCTTTAAAACTATCTTTTAGAGAATTTTAATTTGCTTTTCATAAAAATTGTCCCTTTTGTAAAAAATGCATAAACATTTTTTATATGGGGAAGTATTTATAGATCAAAATGGTAATGCATATACGTTTTATGTATTTAAGTCATTTTGAAAAGAAAACATAAATGTTTACGTACTTAGCTTTTAATAAATAACATATATAAATGTCAATGTGTGCAGTAACATTTTTAGTATTACAGATTTTTAGTTGTGAAATTTTCGTTATATGTTATTATGTCATTTTGTTACGCATTTCCTGAATAAACTATTTTTGTGGGCAGATTGTCCTAATGCTGACTAAATTGATCAAAATAGTTGATCGATCATTTGCCACAGAATACATGCATCGACAAACAATTATTGAATAATCATATCTTATAAAAACAATTTTATATAATTAAGATGATGATAGGATTATTATTTCCCGTTTCAGAATGTTTGCATGGTACATTCGGACCAAACTGCAAGTGGCCTTGTAGTTGTAATAACAGTAACAATAGTATAAATGACTCCTGCAATCGTTATAGTGGTCAGTGTGCCTGCAAGTCCGGGTGGACCGGACGGACATGTGACAAAGGTTACTTTATATTTACATGAAAATGACGCTACAAGGTTCATTAAACTTTGATAATCAAAGTTCTTACTTGATTATACATTATTGATAATGACAAAGGTCTGTTTCGCTATCTTTGTTTAATGTTGCAATTTTGTTTTATAACATTAATGTACACTTTTCACAATTTCATGTTGTTAAAGTTAAAATATGTGTTTATGTTTGCAAAGTTTGAACCCGCAAATGTTGTTATTATTTTATTCATTCAATATTAGAGCTAAACTAGATTATGGAGAAACAGGGGGTTCAATGAGGACAACAGGAAAAGAAAACATAGATGTTTACGTACTTAGCTTTTAATAAATAACTTATATATACGTCAATGTGTGCAGTAACATTTTTAGTATTACAGATTTTTAGTTGTGAAAATTTAAGTTATATGTTATTATGTCATTTTGTTACGCATTTCCTGAATAAACTATTTTTGTGGGCAGATTGTCCTAATGCTGACTAAATTGATCAAAATAGTTGATCGTTCATTTGCCACAGAATACATGCATCGACAAACAATATTGAATAATCATATCTTATAAAAACAATTTTATATAATTAAGATGATGATAGGATTATTATTTCCCGTTTCAGAATGTTTGCATGGTACATTCGGACCAAACTGCAAGTGGCCTTGTAGTTGTAATAACAGTAACAATAGTATGAATGACTCCTGCAATCGTTATACTGGTCAGTGTGCCTGCAAGTCCGGGTGGACAGGACGGACATGTGACAAAGGTTACTTTATATTTACATGATAATGACGCTACAAGGTTCATTAAACTTTGATAATCAAAGTTCTTACTTGATGATACATAATTGATAATGACAAAGGTCTGTTGCGCTATCTTTGTTTAATGTTGCAATTTTGTTTTATAACATTAATGTACACTTTTCACAATTTCATGTTGTTAAAGTTAAAATATTTGTTTATGTTTGCAAAGTTTGAACCCGCAAATGTTGTTATTATTTTATTCATTCAATATTAGAGCTAAACTAGATGATGGAGAAACAGGGGGTCCAATGAGGACAACAGGTAAATGTAAGAAAATGTACGTTGTGATTATATTTGTGTACGTGATTTAATTGTGAATATTGAATATCTTTGAAATTGTATGTAGCATTCCTAGATATTCACCCCTTCCGGTTGATTAAATATATATAAGGTTACAAGAGGTTTAAGATGTAACCATTCTGTTTTATTCTTCAGACTGAAAAAATTGTCTATAAATTTAGTTTTCTGTCCTTTATTCTGTTTCGATGGCTGGAAACCATTACTATTCTGTTATTATATTATTTTAAGGAGCCAGTAAAATACGACTTTTCATTGAATATAAATAGCGTTCGTTTATCATACTCTGCATGTTACACAACGTGATAGAATCCGATAGAATGTAATTAAATTTACTTTTATTTCATCTCTAACCTCCAATAAATAGAAGGATTACATTGATTGGATATCAAGCATTACTGATTGACCATTCTTTATAAAGTTTGAATAAACTTGGTTAACAACTAATCATGTAAAGTAGAATTAATCATCTACTATCCTGCCAGGATTTTAATGCGGCAATATCACATCTCAATAACAATTATCATAGACCTTTGGTTGGACACCTTCTAGAAATATAACTAATAGTATACATAAACTTACATAAACAGGATCGCCCACACACAGACATACACACAAACAACAAGCGTCACTCCCAACATTCACTATGCGCGCACGCACACACTAATGCTTACACCTAATGTGAATAATTCGTCATTAAGATATAATCAGCTCCTGCAAATATTGTTCATTTTTTATTTTATATTACAGCTCACCTAGATAACGGAGAAACAGGGAGTACAACGAGTACAGCAGGTAAACTTAGAATTAGAAAATGTACATTATTATTCTTTTTGTTTATCTTTTTGTCTGGTTAATACTGAATTGCACAAAAGATATTTTCCGAACTTGTATGTAGTATTCTTAGATATTCATCTTATATATTTCAGTTCCAATGGCTAGAAACCTTCATAATTGTATTAAATAGCTTTAAGTGCCCACTGAAAATACTACTCTTCATTAACGATAATTTGATCCATGTCTTCATTATACTCAACATATTACACAACGTAAAATAATCTGAAAGAGTCAAATAAGATTGAAATTCAATCTAGAAGGATAACAATAATTAAATATTAATCATTACGAGTTGTGACCAAATTGTAATGCAATCCGATGGTTTTGTGAGAAGGATTTTAAACTGGGCAAAACTGATTAACGCTCTCCTTCAGAGTACTCTCCAACATTTGCTATGCACAATTTCAGCATTTTCAAACAATAATCAAATGCATTTGTTGAAGTATTTCCCCAGTTTTGTTTAAGAACATACCCTCTGTAAAGCTCACCATTGACAGATTGTACTTTTGATACATAATTTGTAAAGCAGTACTTTCATTAGTAATGAATAAAAGGCATACATGACCTTTTTGACAATCGTGGTACGCTTGGCTATATATGGCCTTTCTGCATGTTTAGGAGTCCATATCTTGTTTTAAAACTCATTCATTAGCTCTATGTTTCATTTAAATTAGTGAGTAATATAGTGTCATCATGGACTTTTTGTTTAATCACTGCCAGAAATATTACTATATACTATCAAAAACTTAACTTTACATATACAGGCACGCTAGCACGCGCAAACACATATACACGCACATGATGATGTATACGCTATTTAAATAATTTTAAACACCTGCATATATGTTATAATTGTTTTTCGTTTATATTACAGCTGACCTAGATCATGGAGTGTCAGTCGATACTATGAGTACAACAGGTAAATTTAGAAATTGTTCATTTTTGTCCCATTTGCTTTTTGGGGTTGATTGCAAATATTGCATTTAACATAGTTGAATCTGCATATATAAGGTTTTGTGTGAAACGTTTTAACTTAAAATTAAGTAACAACTTCCTACTACGGATTCTGCAGGACATGGCCTGCATGTGGTTTATCTAGCATAAATGTCCGAAAATGTGTTATTTGGTTCACGTAATATAAATACGGGTATTGATATTTTTCAGGCAAAAATGAAAACGGTGTAGAAGTTGGAGCAATAATTGGATCTGTTTTTGGTGCATTAGCTATTTGTGTAATCTTCGGTGTAATTTGTGCCTGGTTTATTCTAAGCAGGAAAGGAATGGCGAAAGGTAACATTATCTTATCTCGTTATCTCGTGCTCGTTATTTATACATAAGACATTGCACATATTGTGGTTTTTGTCGTGTGACGGTGCACCAACTAGGTATAGGCTATACTCCTCCGAAACAGGAAAGATGATGTTGGCTTACCTCGGGTGTGTAAAACTATAAAGCATTAGGGATCACAACCAGCTCACCTGTTGGAGTTTAAAGACGCATATACTTCACTTTTTCCAACAATTTTAGTCGTCTCTTACGATTACGCAGGGATAAATGGTGGCTTCATTCTTTTGCCTCAAGCATCAAAGGCAAATCCAGTCAATTATGTAGTTTCACAATTAACATTTTCAGTTTCTAGCAGAAATGTTGACTATAATTGGATGATATGCAGAGCGCAGGTCATCATATTGCCTTCCCGGGAGTTAATTTATATAAACTTTATTAGATAAACATTTAAGTATTGTTGTGTAAAACGTGTTACACTGCAATGCCAATATTTTGCTAAGGTATTTAGCATGTAGCATTACCCTGTAAACCTCTGCAAAACTGATATTAATCAGTCAGTATTGGTCCACCCAAGGTGGAAAACACATTTTAAGTCTTAATGTGTGAAACTACGACGATCAGAGCTAAGATCTTTGGAATGTAGCTTTTGTAGATTTCTACAAGTTATAGTTATCATGACCCACTTACGTTATTCTGCTATAAATGTTTCTATTCACTTTAATGTGGCACTGATTTTCGTACATTTACGGAACTCAGCGAATGACGTTTGAAATACTCCAGGATAATTAAAAACGATTTGAAAACCATTCTAACATATATTTTTCGGATTGATATTCGTCTGCATCTGCTCTTAATATTTATTATAAGTCATCCAAGAAAAATAAGTTTTTGAACAGTTATATGTTTTTAACACTGACCATTATTTAAAGGCTTTACTTTTGCGTTAATCTTGATCAGTTTTATTACGTAATGTATTGCAGACTTATGTTTTATAAACGTATTTAAGACTTCTCGTTACTGATGGAGAACAACATCTCAGAATTCCAAACACTTTTTTAATATATTATTTGATCAAACAGACTCTAGGAAGGAAAATCAACCTCAGCCAATAGTGTCTCAAGAAATAGAGTTTACTGAACCGCCATCAACATCGTAAGTTACATATGCTATTTATGTTATTTTTTCTTTTGTTAAAATCGCAAAGATTTGCCATACTAAAATCCAACTAAATACTAGTCATGTTTTTATGAAAGGTAAAAATGGTTTTAAGATTTATTTAAGCGTCATAATAAAACAACAACACAATTTCTAAAATATCAACCAGACAAAGATGAAGTATGATTAACGCATACATCAGCACTAACTGCTGCTGCTGTGACCGTGTCACTTATATTGCTTCTTTCAAAACTGATTTGTTTTCGTTTGAAAATTATGTCTTTTAGAAACAATTACGAACAACTTCAGAACAGAACGGATACTGAAAATAGGGAGACATATGATTCCTTGGAAGGTATGTTATATTTTTCATTGAGAACTAATAAGTCGTTTATAATTTCACATGAACTTGAACATTAATTTTATTTATGATCATTCGGGTCCATATGATTTGAAAGTGTATCAAATATCATGTAACTTTTAATATTCTGAAATATTTCAGTATATAAATATATATACATGATTGATGTAGTATATATCATAAGTGTATAGGAATGTATAAAGTATGAAAAGAGTACGGTAAATAACGAATTTTAATATTTTTGTCAAAATCATGTTTCAGCAAACGCCAGCTCCGTACCAAACAGGTAATATATTGCATAGAGAATAAATAAGTGCAAAAATCAATGAAAAATACAAATGCTTATTGTATCTGATGTTTCTCATAAAGTCTTAATACTTAATGATTTGATATCAATATATCACATAATGTGTAAAAATACGAGTTGGTCAAATTTGAATTCCACGAACCACTTATTCGACCCCCGGGCGAGGCAAAATCGCTATGTAAAAATTGATTTCGGACATCGAGACAATTGGTCATTCGTCTTTTACTACTGATTTGGAAATAATGTCAGCTTAGAATTGTTTACATGCGGAGAAAATGGTAACTTCTGGTAAGTTATCCAGAAGAGGAAAAAGAAGGGTAGATTGAATGCCGATATATGACCAACAAGTGTTACAACCGGCATTATAACAAACAAATAAACGTTATAACATTTTAACTGAACAGAAGAGAAAATATAATAATCAGTTAAAAATAATGTTTTAATGTTTTTGTATAAGTATGATCTTTAATTTACTATGTGTTCTTATTTTTTGAAATTTTATTTTATATATTTTTTTTTATTCATTTTATTTCATTTTTTTTTTTTTTGTAATTGTTTTCAAATGACTGAAATTGACATTTGAGCGTCTTTTGTTTGCAAATGTGTGTAAAATCAATTAAGGATATAAAAGACAGTATTTTTGAACTTCTAAATGACCTTCACCTCGTTATAGCATTTATAAGACTTTTTTACGCATCTTTCTTATTTTAGCCAACCTCAGTATGAGAGTCTGGAGCATGGAGCAGAGACATTTCACATTTATACAGATCTAAACCCGTAGGAAAAAGAAATCATATATAAAGATGAAATATTCTGAAATTGAAAAATTACGATTTAGTTTTGTATATATTTTTATAATAATATATAATAACTTTTATATATTATAACTTTTTTTTTATTACGATTTCTCATTTAAAAAAACAACATCTGTTTCAGATGACATTTCTGTAGAAGATTTCAAGACATATTTTGAAAAATTTATCTAACAGTATTTTTGAATAAAAAAATTTAGAGTTTAAAACGTTTTGTAATGAACATGATTTTAATTCAAGTGATTGTAGGTTTGATGAGTTAGATATACCCATTACATGTGAGGAGATCCGTTAAGCTGTAAAATCCTTAAAACAGAATAAAGCTTTCGGATCAGACTGTTTATTAAATGAGTATTTTATATCATCTATAGATATTTTATGTGGACATATATGTGATTTATTTAATATTGTTTTAGAGTCAGGTTTTTTCCCAGATAAATGGACAGAGGGTGTTATTGTGCCTGTGTTCAAAAAGGGTGACTCAGGTGACGTAAAAAATTACAGGGGAATTACTCTCCTAAGTTGTTTATCTAAACCTTTTACTACTGTATTAAATACTAGAATTGAAAATTTTTGTTCAAACAATTGCATTATATCAGACTGTCAATTTGTTTTCAGGAAAGGAAAATCAACTATAGATGCCATATTTATTTTACAAAATGTAATTCAACACTATCTTAATAATAATAAAAGGTTATATGTAGGGTTTATTGATTTAAAATCTTGTTTTGATAGCATATGTAGAAACTCGCTTTGGTTGAAAATGTATCAGTGTGGCATTCAAGGTAAAATATTGCGAATCATTAGAGATATGTATAATAAAGTTAAGTCATGTGTAAGATGTTGTAATTGTTATTCTGATATCTTTAAGTATGACGTGGGCTTAAGACAAGGGGAGGTAATTTCACCGATACTTTTCTCCATTTTTGTAGAGGTTTTAGAATTACATTTACAAAGCAACATAAGTTCTGGTTTGTTAATTGACGACATTATATTAATCTTGTTACTTTTTGCAGATGATATGGCTATTATAGGCAAAAGTCCGGATGATTTACAAAATAGCCTTGATTTATTGTATACTTATTGTATAGAATGGGGATTAGAAGTTAATATTGAAAAAACGAAGATAATGATATTAGAAAAAGGGGAAATATCTTTAACAATGAAAAATGGTTTTATAACGTTGGGCTTTCTTTAGGGATTCTTATTTCACTCGACTTTGTGTTCATACGGCGGTTATTATATAACCGTCAATGCGACACTTTTGTGCCGTATAATGAAAAGCGTCGTTTAGTCCAAAGTAAAAGAAAGTGTGTACCTAAACGAGAATAGCAATGGGTGGAGCTAAACAAAATTGAATTTTGAAAGGTGATCAGAAACCTATATATCACTGTCCAATTATCTATATCAAGATGATTCGACGAGTACTAATACAATTATTTGAAATATTTTGCGTCAGTTGATTTTTAGGATGTTTTAAATTCCCATCGTTTTTATATGGTATTAAAATTTTACAAGTAAAAGAAATCCTCACTTTCCAAGCATAAGCAAGAACATGAGAGGAACAATACTGAAATACCAAGAGTAAGCTTTTTTTTAAAAACTTGAACATACAATGGAAGGTTTCAAATCAATTAGAATGTACTCTTTGTAAGCTTTTCTGAGTTCAATATTTCATAAATCAATTGATCAAGCCGTTTATGATCAGTCTCATTTATCGAATGTATCTATGCATAACTGACTCTTTATTATCCGTTTTGATTTTTCATTTTCTACTAAACTGACAACGTTTCAGTGGAAGTGATGGTAGCGATGGTTGAAACCCGTTAGATTTATGTTCTGATAGTGAATCCCTTTCAACTTATATCAATGTTTATAATGTAAAATAATTATATTTTTCACTTGTTTAATAATATTTTCCTTAATCTGGTACTTATGGCAGAAATACATGAGAGGGAAAGAACGAGAACAACGAGGAAAAAATTGTGCGTATCAGGAAGTCTAATAAAAAGTGTCATTGCCTTTATTAGACTCATCATGTATTGATATTAATTGTGAACATAACTTCCCTTTAGTTTTTAAACATAAATATTTTATACTACATGCTTGCAAATGAAGAATAATATCAGTTTCTCTTTCGGATTTTTTTCAATCATTTTAGTGGCACGTGTGGTCACTGGAACGGGTAAGTAAATCGCATCCTTTATCAATTTCACATTATTTAAGGGCAAGGGTTACTTTTTTTACGTGCTAGTCTTTACGATTTTGATAATGATAATATTGATGACTGAATTGTGAAAACAGTAATGATGATGGTGGTGGTGATGATGATTATTATGATGAACATGATGCTGATGATATAATGGTTATTCTTTAGAAGATTATGATCCTTTGGATAATTTGGCAATGACAACATCGATTATAACTATGATTATAATCTATACAACTACGATAATTTTGATCACAATAGTGCTAACGATCATAACGAGAACTATGTCAATGATTATGATAATTTGAGATGTTCCGGTCCTGATGATTATACAATGCAAATCAGAATTATTAACTGTTCCGAAACCACAAATTCCGTCAACTTTTGATTTAATTTGAAAAAGGAAAGAAAAAATAATTACAGAATATAGCAACCAAACACATAATATAACAATGTTTATTACAGGTATTTAATGTAATTGGTTTATTGAAACCACAATATCCATCAACTTTTGATTTGATTTGAAAAAAGAAAGCAAAAATAATTACAGAATATAGCAACCAAACACATAATATAACAATGTTTAACCTATAGCTCTTCAGCGCTTCTTATGTAAAATTCTTCCAAGTATAATTTCCAATAACCGTAAATTATACCATACCCAGACTATGGTAAAATTGTCAGTTTTGAAGATCGAAGGAGTAAGTGTTTCTGGGCGGAGCTATAGGTTAAAACAGATACACCATTGGTGCGTTGACGATTTCTGCGTTTGCGTAAATTATACCATACTCACGTGACCTTTCTTATGCAACCTCACTCGAAAGGTCACGTGATTATGGTATAATTTACGCAAACCCAGAAAGCGTCAACGCAGCATTGTATATCTATTACTTATTACAGGTATTTAATGTAATTGGTTACTGCATAGTCTATATAAGACACTTTTTTTCAGGCGTGGTTATAGACTGTTTTAGTACAACGGTAGATGACTACATCGGACACCAGCAGACGACAGAGAATGGGACACCATGCATAAGATGGGATTCTTCCTCATACAAAAAAAATTACACAAATGACCGTTTCCGTGATGCTACTGTATCAGATGCAGCCAATTTTTGTCGTAACGTTGGAAAGAATTTTCTCTGGTGTTGGACGTCAAACATTGGCCATTGGGGCCTATGTGGAATTAGAAAATGTGGTAAATAAATAATTCGCGATAACTTACAATATATATTACATCAATGCTGAATCTTAAAATTATTTCCGGTTTAGCATTTCCATACGTTATTGATATCAATGTAATAATATGAATGAAATTGTATATGAATCTATGTTGATAAAATATTTGTTTTCCGGCCTTTTAAATTAGAATCTTTAAAAATTCCTAGCCTTAATTTTGTTTACCTCATAATAGCTAAGTATTTAATACTTCTAATTTGATTTTCTATGGAATAAATCATATATATATAAATACTTTAAAATTGGTATTATTATCAGACCTTTGGAGAGTCGATGTTGTTGCTATAATCGTAGTTTGTAGATAAAAATCAATAAAATATCACTACAATACTGTTTCTAAAGACAATTTAACCAACCAACTACGTTATATACCTTTATTCGTGGTGGCCAACCTGCGTTACTTTTGGATAAAATGCATGACAGACAACGGCTTAAATAGCATTGATCATATATATTCTGTTTAAACTTAATAGAGTTTTGTTCAATAAATGCATAATCCCTTATAAATATGTTATCGACCAACACTTTTCTTGTGTAAATTATCATTTTCTACAGTATTTATCAAACAGATTCTGTCAGTAAAGTTCTTAAGAAACCTTAAAAAATCAACTGCTGAATCTAAAGAAACTTACAGTCTAAGTCGGCTGAGGAAAGTGCTCTTAACGTATTGTATACCTTTTATTTGAGGAAACTTTAGTTTGTATTTTTTTTTAAAAAGACACAAAATCTGCTTTAATCAGGATAATATTCCGACTAACACTAGTTCTTAAAGGCATTATATATTGGAGGTGGGGGTGGGGTTCAGTTATATAGTGATTTTCGTTTTTGTTTGGGAATCATAAAATTATTGTGTTTACAGTTTCATACCTCTATAACAAATTGTTTCGCATTAAGCACTATTTTATTCAGGCATTAAGCCTATCACGTGTTCTGAATAAATTATTACAAACATTATCAAGCACATGTTTGTTTCTACAAAAAGAAAAAATAATTCAATACTTAGGTTCAATGAGCCTTTCATTATCTTGAAAATCAATTGATGAGCTAAGAATAAATAAGATGCGAATCACTCATTTATGAACGCAAAACATTGTCTAGAATAATTCTAATTATGCCCGTTCCACATAAAATATACGATACAAAATCCATCGACATAAAATGTCAGTTAAACTATAACGTGACATCATAGTGTTGGTATGAAAACTATAACATATCCTACAAATTACAATGTATGTCCTGAGTAAAACGTATTATGAATTCATTCTCTTCATTACTTTTGCTAATTCATTTATAAGTTTATAAATGAATACCATGTATTGTACTGTACTGTACTGCAATGCACTGTACTGTACTTTCCTCCACTGAACTGTATCATACTGTACTGTACTATATAATACTGTACTTTACAGTAGTCTAAGATATTAGTCGTATTCCCTTATTGTAGTTTATGTTGCGCAAGAGTAATGTATAAAATGTATTCTTCTTTAACCCATGGCAAAATAGAAATAATAATTATAAAATTGTCTAATATCTTTCCTATAAAAGCTTAGCTTTATTCAATGGTGTATCCTGTATTTGTTCAACTGCACTAAAATATTGAACAGAATATTTTCCGAATTTGAATTAAATATAAACCATTTCATTTCCGCCATGTCTCTGCTGTTAGCAGTTAAAACATTGATTCCGAAATTTGTGAACGAAATGAAAATTTGGGCTGCGTCATGACAAAACAAACATAGTGCGTTTGCGACCAGCATGAATCCAGACCAGCCTGCGCATCCGCGCAGTCTGATCAGGATCCATGCTGTTTGCTCTCAGTTTCTCTACTTGTAATAGAGTTTGTAGGCGAACAGCATGGATCCTTACCAGACTGCGCAGATGCATGGATCCATGCTGGTCGCAAACGCACTATGTTGGTTTTGTCATGACGCGGCTCAAATATCGTTTGTTAGGAAAATGAATATTAATTCTCGCATCCAATCAATCAGATAACTTCTGTGGGTAGGTCAGATGGGAAAAGACGATAGTGATGTTATAGTAAATAAGTGAAGAAAGGCTTACTACGTATTAGTTTAAAGCTGCATGCCTTCAGATGAGCGACAATATTTCAATATAATCAAACTTGAATAAAATGTACTAAGATTTTTGGAAAAGTAAAAATGTTCAAGATTCAAGTACTAATTTACATGTTATGTACGATTTATGACTGTTTTTTTCAGTATTTATAACTATATTTCTACTGCGTTACTGCTATTTTTGCATGTTTTGTCCTCATTTTCGAAATTTACGAGGGTTGTTAGTCATGTAAGTGCCATTGATAATGTGTAAATTGCTTCCTTTTGGTTATTTCATTAAATAATACGTTTAAACACATTTTCAAAATTTTCATGAAAATTAACATGAATCTGGAGGCGTGCTGCTTTAAGCTAATGAAAAACTGCGAAGTATGCATAAACATGCTGACTTTTGTAGCTCAATAGGCTTCAAACAATTCCGATAACATGTTGTGTTGTCAAGATAACACACGTCATATTTACACGACTGCTGGACTACGCAATAGTGTACTATATTGTACCTTTTGGGTAAACTCAAGCTTGCATGTCTGTTGTTTTTAACTGGATTATTCTGCTAAGAGTAATCAAGGTACTTGAAGGTACTTGAAGGTACTAACTGAACGTGTTTGTTTTAAATATGGAAAATTAATCATTGTATTTTTGATTTTTGAGTGGGGTAGGAGTGGGGGATTAGGTCCAAATGAATTTATTCAAACTTCTTGATTCTATAAATCTCATAGTAACGCTACTGTTATGTCAACTTCTGCAGACTGTATAACTGCTCGATAAAAAGAGATAAATGCACGCTTGAAGCAATTATTAAGAGTGTTTTCCCCTATACGCTCACAATTCCTTTAATAATTCTATGAAACGACATTAAATGAATTGATTACTTATGATATAATTTTTTAAATCCTTTACATCTGATTTACTTAAAAACATCGGACTATATTGTGACGCGTGTACATGATAAAGCTTGATGTTTGGCATATACAATTGACCAAATGCCTAACGTGTTATCGCTCGGCCTTCTTAGTCAAGTGGTAAAGAAAAACCCTTTCTTGGTGCGACCCCCGATGGGATGGTCTGCGAAAATGATCTGTATGGAATATTGGAATTAAATGCCTTTCTGTTATCAGATAAATATTGATGTGGTAGATACATATTCATGATAATCTAATGTTACACCTTAAACTTTGTACCGATGGCTATTTTCTTCTACACTGACAATGTAAAGTCAAAGCACAGAAGGCGCTGAATTTGTTTGGGTCTCAGAATGTCAGAAAGGTGAAGGTTGTGAGATTATAAAACAATTTGTTTTTGTATAGTGCCACCAATGCTTTCCAGCGTTTTAATTGTAGTAGATTGGCTATAAGACTAATTGCAACACTGATATTCGATCCAATGTTTATTTGACTTAAACAATTTGAAAAAAAATGAGTTGCCTTAACTGGGATTTGAACTCCAGACCTCTCGCTTCCTAAGCGAGCGCGCAAACCCCTCGGCCACGGTGAATTTACATGTTAACGGCCTGAAGAAAACCATATTATTCTAGTTAGGGTTTGTAACGACGCTAACTGTTGTATAACACGTGTGTAAAAATAATCATGGCGCTTACTATAAGCATGTATATCTATAAATAATAAAACAATATTAGAAATCTTCGATCATTCGGGAATTATTTTGCTTGAAAATTAATCTGCTTGTCATGTGACTATATTTACGCAGTGATCTCGCCTAAATTTTTCGGCGGACTACTTTCGGCACTTGCAATTAACAGCATTAGAGTCTGAAATTTCGCTACCATTATTTGTTTGGTCTGACGACCCAAACAAATAAATAATCAAATCTAATATATTTAGAATAACTTGGTTCATTAGACTATTAAAAACCCAGTATAAAATAGACATTTCATGTAAATCAATTACATCTATCATGTATCTAATATCTTTTGATCCGTATTGCTATTATATTTACGCAAACTTGACACGTGTACACTGTTTAAGAAACACAATAATAATTATAATGTGCATATATATATGTGTCAGTAATTACATAGTTTTAACTTGTGACAGAATTATGTTCCGCATTTTGTTAGACATATGTCTAGTTTTTTTGTAGGGCTTAGTTGGTGTGTGCTTAGTTGTTGAACATGTTCAACTGTCGGGTAAAGGGTCAGTGAATTGCTCAAATGGCGCTACTTTAGGGACATTCTACAATACATAAATTGTTAAAGCGTATATCAAAGTTTTTTATTATGGTTATAATTTTTGCATATTTTTTATTTTAATTATGTTGTTTTATTTTCTTTTTTATAGATTTCTAAATATTAAAAGCAGTCGTCATTAGAGCTTTATAATTAATATGATTTTATAGCTTGGTGATTATCTCACATATGCTTCTAGCTATGTATAAAATTATGGAGAAAAATAAAAAATATTATTGCATTTATTCGCATAGTGTAACGTCCAGAACCTAATTCAGTTCAATTTCAAATATTTTAAACTTTGCTCATGGGAATAACATAATGTAGTCAATTCAACACATGTTCATCAGCTTTTATACATTCAAGTATTTCAATTTATATATATTCAAGTTAGAACTTCGAACAATTACACAAAAACAATAAAAAGTAGGCATGTTCAGTTTGTTCATACCTTAGTTCACACATAGAAATGATAATTCCCGTCAATTTTCTCTACATTTAGTTGATCGTGAGGACGCACACAAGCCTTGATCTAGCGTAAACACTTTTCCAGGTTTCTTTTAGGTTTCGGAAACAGAGAGTTTGGCATATTAAGCGCTCGAGAAAACGAGAACCAGAATTGCACTAACATCTTTTAATCATTTCCATAAAACATTTGATTTTTCAAGTTAAATTGATGAAATTCAACTGCAGCTGATAAATCTTTGCTATCATTCTTGGAACCGCAATGCCCAGGGGTAATGTCTAAGGTAAAACCGGACATGGGTTTGCGAAAAACATTGATTGGCTATTTTTTATCAAATTGATTGATAGTAGGCCTCTAGTCATTTGAACATGGTGGTATATGAAGACATATCGCCTTCAAATATCATATTGTTGTGCTTTCTAAATTTTCGAAATTATGTGATCCTCATTATTATTGTCATACTTCGACCAACGTTTGGGTACAGGCATTAAAATGTTGTTTGTTGAGTTAGCACATTAATTACATTTTCATGTCAGTAAAGCAACACTTACTTAGATCACATATAATCCGTAATCATTTCCACTCCTTACTAGTCATAATCCCGATGCGTGCCTTACGATTCGTGTCTTTTTAATACTTTTCTTTAACCCGGACGAGTATTTATAGAATGTCAAGTTTTCGACACTTCCCGTCAGTCTTCACTATATACAGAACGGATACGGTATTTCGGTCTAGCATAAGCTAAGAAATAAAACATGTAAACACATAGTTATTTAGTGCTAGGTTTGTTGACAAGTTTTGTTTTCCAACATTTTAAGTAAAAGTTCACTTAAAATATGTGAAATCATAAATGTAAAAGCAAACAATACATTATGCATGTATATGTTATTAGGGTTGAACACATGTACAAAATGCCTACCTAATACATTTAGTCGGATTGTTTAAAATTGTACATCAGTGGACATATGTTAATCATATTTTGTTGTCAGACATATTTTCAAGAAGCAAACTTTATCTTACGAGTCGTTTGGATGTCAAATATACGCATTCGCTTTACATTATCGAATATTACCCTCTCTGTTTTTGTTTTCATCTGAGAACACAAGGTAGACCTACTTTCAATCCGTATTAACTCTGAAGTTATTATAAATAATAGTCGAGGACGATCCGATTGGTATTTATATACTGATTATGTGTTCATGATAATGCACTATATATATATCAATCAAAATTAATGTTTTGTTTAAGCTTTATTGTGTAGAATGATACATCAAATATTCACCAATAGCTATTCTTGCATTTACAATTTAAATCGTTTTTTGGGTTGTTATTGTTCTCTTATTTTGGCTCCTAACAGTCAAATGATGTTTTATGTATATGATACTTTCCAAGCGTCAGTTTACATGTATATATGCCGTTGTGTTTTTTTCTTTACAGGTAATGACTTTTTAAACAAATGTGGAAATTTGAAAATTAAGCAACCAGCTTTACTAGGAAGGAACGTCACTTTTACTTTTACCCCGGACTCATATGATCCAAACGCAATTCTCGAATGGCAACGTGCAGCTAAAGGAAACGCATGGTATACTCGCCCTTTGACATACAAGTTCACACAGTATAATGAAAATGGAACATACTACATGGTCTTAACAGAGAGTTTATCTAGAATTGATGAAATAAATTACCGAATACATTATTACAACGAAAGTAAGCACTGTCGGATGAAAACAGGAACACTTGTACTAGATGGTAGGCCATTTGTTAAGTTATTTCCTATCAATAATATTATGTAAGCCATTTAGAAAATCATTGCTAAATGAAGCTTTTAGAAAAATAAAAAATATAAATTCGATTAAAGGATTTAATAATTACAAAGCACAAATATTAAGTTATAACGACAGTCCATATGAGTTATAGTCTCTTCGTTTCGAATTAATACAATTAGTGTCAGATATATTCGCGGATAATCAGTTATATGAAAAATCATTGATATAATAGCAATAAAAACAAATTGCAGTCTGAAAAACAGCTAAATCCCCTACCACAGTGGACAGTAATGTGTACTTCTTGACCTTTAACCAACCATGACCATGCTGTTGTGCCATACATATCATATGCACATTTGCTCACAATAAAATCTGTTTCAGTTATTGACCAATTATCTTCCATATCCAGATGAAAACCTTTGCAGATCTTCTTATTTTGATTATTTTTTTAGGTCAAGGTCTTGGTAAACATGGGTGATTTCAGACATCATTTTTGCTTATTTGTTTGTATCATACTAAAGCAAATTTTCTATTACTTGGGATCTGGTAATATGTCCTGTTTTAACTTATAATACTTTGATAGTGAGTTAGTGACCCTTATTTGTTATTTGTTATAGTTTTCATGTTTTACAAATCATTCAGTCGAGAATTACAAGACTTGTGGCTATGTTTTAACCTTGACCTAGTTAATGCCTGCTGTAGGTGATGGTGATCATTTGTGCCAATATAATTTCAAAATTTCAGTAGCTAAAAAGTTATGAAGAGGACACAAAATTGTTGAATATTAGTTTTTGACCATATGTGTGACATACACCTGAATATTGCGCAGCCTGACCATATGTGTGACATACACCTGAATATTGCGCTCCACACATCATTCCAATATGGTGACCATTTGTGCAAAGTCATTTTGAAAATAGTTTCAGAGTTAAGGAGCAGACAGGAAAATGTTGACCTTTATCATTATACCTTTAAGTATGACATTGACTTCGTGGTTTGTAATCTGGATATACCTTGAGGGTAGCAACCTAGACGTTGCGCTCTGTAGATTGAGTCATGGTGGGGATCATTTGTGCCAAGTAATTTCAAAACCTTTCAATTGTCAATAAGTCCTTAAGCTGACATGAAATTTAAATGTTTTAAATGTAGAATTTTGAACACTTGACCTTTGAGTGTGCCCTTGACCTTGGCGGTAGCAACATAGTAATAACAGACTGCACATCGCCTTATAATGATAATCACTTGTGCCAAATTATTACAATTTTTTCAGCGGTTTAAACTATAAAGAGCAGACACGAAATTCAGACATTTTAACACTTAACCTTTAAGTGTGACCTTGCCCTTGGTGGTAGCAACCGAATTATTGCGCTCTGCAAATGGTCTCATAATGGTGATCACTTGTAACAAGTGATTTTAAAAACTTTTAAGCGGTTTAAGTTATTGAACGGACACGAAATGTAGATATTTTAAGACTTGACCTTTAAGTGTGATCTTGATCTTTGGATATCAACCAGATTTTCGCGCTCTGCACATCGTCTCGTATAGGCCATCGCTTGTGCCAAGTTATCTTAAACTTTTTTCAGCGGCTTAAAAAATGTGGAGCCGAAACGAAAGTGTTACGAACATACAGTCGGACAGACGGACCAACGGACGTTCTAACGGGACGGTTATTATGTGGCTACTCTATTGTTCTTTCTATTGTTCTTTTTAGCCACACAAAAGCATTACAGAATGAGTAACATCAAAGAGAAAGAACAGTTACCTATTGTCCTTCTAGCCACATTATTACCGTCCCGTGAGAGCGGACGGATAGACAGACGGAGGCCATTTCTATAGTTCCCTCCCCGCTTTGCAGAAGGGGAATAATAAAGCTGAAACCAATATACGGAGATTATCAGTAATATATCAGATCATCAATATAACGGCAAATAAGATGAAACCAAGTACCTATGTTCATACTCATCTTTGACTAACTTAACTGGATAAGATAACGTCACAAAGTTTATTGCTCCACGGTTTTTAATAAATATCTCATGCATGCAATAATGAATAACACTTGCAAAAATGTAAGAAAAAATCTAAAATATCTTATAAGACGCGTATAGACACAACAAGGAAAGTTTTTCTTAAAGTAACACGTGCGGGACAAGGAAGTACTTCACACGCAAACATTCCCAAAGAGAGATGAACCTGTTTCCACCTAAACAGATGTCAAGTGATAAATGTTTGCAGAATATCCACCAGCGAGAAAGCTTTTTGTTCAAATATGAAATTTTTGACCCGACAAGTTTCAAAACACAGTATCCGACACTATTCTTTAATATATTTACATATACCGGTATGGCATCAAATAACTAAATAAGTTTCAAATAGCTATAAAACAATACGACAAAAGTCTAACATACTGAAATGAAGTGAATATTAATTGATAATTATTTGGATTCACATTAACAAAGAAACAGAAGGTTCAGTCATTAAATTTTATTATATACATTGTAATTTAAAAATATATGTATGAATGAGTTGCAATATTTGGTAAAAGGGATTATTGGTTTATTGGTTTATCAACTGGTTTATTACTTATTTGGCTTCATAAAGTGAAAAATACATTTTTCGTTCTGTTTTTTGATATAAGTTATAATTTGTCTAATTAAATCTCATGTACTTTTTTCAGATAACCCAAATAATCCCTGTGGGTTTGTTTACCTAAGAAATGAACGTGTACTTGAGGGCGGTAATATATATTTAGAATAGTATCCGTCTGAAGATGCAATGGCAAACCCTGTCAATTTTAATTTCAAATGGGCTCACTCAGACAATGGATATACGCCTTTTACGAAGTTAAGGGATGATATTCACAAAACAGATAAGACAGAAAATGGGATGAAAGTACTTACTATTCCCATGGCTAACATCAGTATGAACGGATATTACAAAGTTGAGTGTGGCGCATATGCGGGGTTTACAAATACTGTCTCAGTGACTGTACTAGGTAAAACAAATAAAGTCATCTTTTTTTAATTATAGTATTAAGATTAATTTAATGATTAGTAATCTGTAAATATGTAAGACGTGAATAAACGTTGTTTTATGAGGTTATTATTTTACATTAATATATAGGCACTTTACTACACATCTAAAATATATACAATATCCTTTGTGAAATTGTTGGCAGTTAATTACTAACATAATTAATCGTAATAGAATTGAAAAAAATACCTTACATTTGTGTCGTTTCACATTGATAATTTTACAAACACGGTGCTTACACATGTTTAAGTGAAGAGAAGACACGCATTTACAAATCTGTCAACATGTCGAAATTGAGACAATTGCCAATTAAATTATCATTCTAAGAAGCAAAATCATGAACGTATGAGAATCTAAAAAAAATATTTAAAATTATAGATCCTGTAACACAATTTTTGTTGGGTTTTATATCATAAATATGATGTTCAAATCAAGATTTTTCAATTTTGTAAGTTCCATTATTAAAAATATATTACCGAATTTAACATTCCATGTAAATAAAGGGAGTTAACAAAAAATTCTATATAAAGTGTAAGTCAAATTTTTCAATAAGAAATGAATGCATACACTTTATTGATTACATATAATATGTGCAAATATTTGCTGTACATATTTTACACATTATCCGATTTTGAAAATTGTTTATAAGCATAATTATATACATACGATATATAATTTCACTTTAGTGTAGTATACAACCTCAATTACAACTTACAGGATTTTTACAAATTTAAGCAAACTCACTTATAATGACTCTATGTTATTAATGTAAGAGACTGAATTTATATTATCATAAAATGTCTACATGTGTTTTACTATATATATGTTACCATTTCTTTTAAACATGTTTTAGCTTTGAACAGCAAACTGATTCTTTTTGCATTTCACTGCTTCCACAACTCATAGCATCCACTTTTATACAAATGCCCAAAAATACGATTGAATAAGACTATTGTCATCTTTTGTGAGGAAAATGCCTTGGATATAAACACTCAAACAGTTTCTCATGTTCACTTGTTTCTAGCACATGCACATTGATATATAGTATTGCATTCGATTCAAATTAAGTTCAGTGTAAATGACACACAGGTACGAATTGTGTTGTTAACATACATGTATATTTGATTTATACCTGCATCTATTGACTAACATTTTGTAAATGCTTTTGCCAAATTAAGTTCAGTGTAAATGACACACAGATACGAATTGTGTTGTTAACATACATGTATATTTGATTTATACCTGCATCTATTGACTAACATTTTGTAAATGCTTTTGCTTAACATTAGTTATTTGTATATGTTTTAGTGCGACCAAGTGCACCAGCATTCATAGGTCTACAGGACATTGATGAATGTAAGGAATGCATTGTTGGTTATGACAAAGGGAGCATTGAAGTTTATTGCAAGACAAGTGGCGGGACACCACCCAATAATGTGACAGTGACAGTAGGAGACAAGCAAATCAATGCCCTGCAGTATAATACATCGGTTTATACAGCACGTATCACACTTGATAACCGTTACCACAACAGAACAGTCACTTGTTCTGTAATGAATAGTGCGTTAATATCACCATTAATCACTACTGCCAAAGTATATGTTATAAGTAAGTAATATTTTATCATAGGCACATGAACCCATTTATATTGACTCAAAGATGATTTTCAGTTCTGAATTACAACATTGATTAGGAATAATGCATCTTAACAGAGCTAAATATTTTTCCATAAAATAAAACTAAAATAAATTTTAACTAATCGGAGACACGTGTATTTTAAAAGACATGTGTAGATAATTTACAACGTGTAGACACAATGGTAGGATACTACGTCATTGCGCACCTGCAAAATTCTACCAATCGATTGTTTTTTGTTGTGTTTTTCTTTTTGTCGACTCGAAGATAAATATATTTTGTTGTAAGAAACCGTTAGAATATCAAAAATAATGTAGCACACCAACAATATATGGCTTTGATATTTGATATAATGTTAAAATAACGTTTAATTAAAGTTTTACTCTCTGATTAAAGCCTGAAAATGGGATAAATTTTGTCCGAGTAAGAGCATTTAGGAAAAAATACCTATATCCAGTTTACAGGACTACAGTAGGCAGTAACACCTTTTAAATTATATCAAGTACTAAAGCCAATCTTTGGTGCGCTAGATTAATTTTTTGATAATCTAACGATTTCTTAAAATTAAGACATATTTCACTTTCGAGTCGACGGGATGTTAACAAAAAAGCAGCCACCCCCACCCCCCCCCCCCAAAAAAAAAAAAATAAATAAAAGAAATCAACAACCAGTCTAATTGGGAGCATTTTGCACGTGCGCGATAACGTAGTATTTTACACTTGAGAAAGTCGTGACAAAATTAATCAATGTTCAAAGATCAAATTGCGACAACATTGAAAATATTTGTCCAAAAGCAGTTTTCAAGCGCTAATACAAAGTACTTTTTGTCTGCATTTTTAAACTCTTTATAGTATGGAAGTGCAAAGTTTAATTCCTTTTGTCACATCACTTTTTTGGAGTGAATTGAACTATTATTGTTTGGATATATTACAATTTGTTATTTAAATACTTTAGATCTTTGTTATCATTTCATTTCTTTAAAGTACTTTACCCGTATCCTATTATTTATCAGACGTCATCATAATTAAGACATAAAGTTTGTGATAAATAGGTTTTATATGTTTGATTTGAAATTTTAATTCTTAATTTATTTTAAAATTTAGAATATGTGTGTTTACTCTAAATTTCTTATGTTTTCTACAGAGCCTCCTGCTAAAGTTGTGTTATCAACACCAAGTTATCTTAAAGAAGGGAGTCTTGTTAACATCACATGCCAGAGTCAAAGCTCAAGACCTTCACCGATTGTTTACTTAACCATTTCCGGTATAAATGTGTCGTCTGCTGACGTTAATACAATACCTTCATTCAATAAAGAAACTTTGTTATACAACACTGCTACCACCTTGACAACATTTAAACGAGAATGGAATGGAAAGGACATCATCTGTTGTAGTTATAATAAATGGTACAGACAACCTAGATATTGTTCCAAGCCGGAACAAGTGAACTTTCTATGTAAGTGTTTAACGCTAAATTTATTATATAAGAGAAAGACATGTTCATGTTTCTGATCATTTACGAGATCTTATGACAGAAAATAAATGAAACGGACTTTTAAGATGAATAAATGCTAGCCAAGTAACTAGTAATACATAAGTATCATAAAATAAATTTATTTTCCCGCCGTTTGCTTGGCTTATCTTTTATTATGATAGTAAATAGATAAACTTCTTAAAAGGGTTTTTGGTAGCTTGTCAAAAATGTTTGTATCCCACTGAGCTCATTTAATTAACATAAGTTTTACAACTTAAACAATATATTCAAAGTATACCTTATTTGCGTTTAACTACACACAAAAATATGGAATATGTAATAAATTGAGCAACAGTGTTAATATAGTACATGTAGTTGCAATAACATCAGATTGCAAATGAAAGCCTGGAGGCCTTTTTCCAAATAAATACTTCGGATATATACCTACAGTTATAAACAATTCGATTATAAAACCATAAATACAATGAAAACCAGTTTTAGAACATTTCATTTTAAGCTTTCATGACAAAAATACCAAAATAGCAAGTGCAAATATTAATTTTCAATAATCTTTTTACATGAGCTTTCAAAATATAGTATTAAGTGAAGCATATACAGGGTTAAAATGTAATTGTTTCATTTATTAAAGACAAATTATGTAAGAAGAATAACACTATTCACATCTTTTCTGCCTACCATTCTTTTCAAGACAAATTTCAAGATAGTTTTTTAAAACAGAAAACGAGACTCTGGTTTCCCGATTAAGTATAATGAGTATAGAAAAAGACCGGTACTAGCGTAGGTGCTTAATCATGGAGTAATTTGATCCATCGTACCCTGACCTTGGTTTCTTTTTAATGTAGTGATTAACTACACCAGCAAAACATGGTCACGATAAAATTCGATACTACACAGTGCCATCATTCTATGACGTTCAAAACATAGAGTGTACATAACTCTTTTAACGCTCCTGCTACGTCGAGCAACAACTAGGCAATCGCTGTTTTCACTACCCACATTTTGTTACAGAGTTTAGTGTCGGGCTAAAAATGTCACTTTTCATCCCCCGTGACAATTGCTCTCAGGCGTCTAGGGTCTCGATCTTTAAACCTAGTCAATAAGGCCGAGACTTATACAAAAACTCACTTTTCTGGTCACAAGTTAGCAAATGCGGGATCCAACAGGCGCCCACTTTCTTTAACTGTAATTTTTCTTTCAAATTAAAGATGGAAAACACATATAGGCTCGATATATCACTTATCTCCTCAATGGTATGGTATACCTTGCATCTTCATCAACAATTGCTTAGGGTGGGGATCATCAGTTTACATACATGTATATTTGATTTATACCTGCATCTATTGACTTACATTTTGTAAATGCTTTTGCTTAACATTAGTGATTTGTATATGTTTTAGTGCGACCAAGTGCACCAGCATTCACAGATCTACAGGACATTGATGAATGCAAGGAATGCATTGTTGGTTCTGACAAAGAGAACATTGAAGTTCATTGCAAGACAAGTGGCGGGACACCACCCGTTGATGTAAAAATGACAGTAGGAGACAAGCAAATCAATGCCCTGCAGCTTAAGACATCGGTTTATACAGCACGTATCACACTTGATAACCGTTACCACAACAGAACAGTCACTTGTGCTGTAATGAATAGTGCGTTAATATCACCATTAATGACTACTGCCAAAGTATATGTTATAAGTAAGTAATATTTTAATATCATAGGCGCATGAACCCATTTATATTGACTCAAAGATGATTTTCAGTTCTGTATTACAAAATTGATCAGGAATAATGCATCTCAACAGAGCTAAATATTTTTCCATAAAATAAAACTAAAATAAATTTTAACTAATTGGAAGCACGTGTATTTTAAAAGACATGTGTAGATAATTTAAAACTTGTAGACACAATGGTAGGATACTACGTCATTGTGCACCTGCAAAATGCTACCAATCGATTGTTTTTTGTTGTGATTTTCTTTTTGTCGACTCGAAGATAAATATATTTTGTTGTAAGAAATCCTTTGAATATCAAAAATAATGTAGCACACCAAAGATATATGGCTTTAGTACTTGATATAATGTTAAAATAACGTTTAATAAAGTTTTACTCTCTGGTTAAAGCCTGAAAATGGGATAAATTTTGTCCGAGTAAGAGCATTTAGGAAAAAATACCTATATCCAGTTTACAGGACTACAGTAGGCAGTAACACCTTTTAAATTATATCAAGTACTAAAGCCAATCTTTTGTGTGCCACATTATTTTTTGATATTCTGACGATTTCTTAGAATAAAAACATGTTTTACATTCGAGTCGACGGGATGTTTACCCCCCAAAAAAAAAAAAAATTAAATAAATAAAAAAATCAACAACCAGTCTTATTGGGAGCATTTTGCACGTACGCGATAACGTAGTATCTTACACTTGAGTAAGTCGTTATAAAATAAATCAATGTTCAAAGATCAAATTGCGACGTGATTGAAAATATTTGCCAAAAGCAGTTTTCAAGCGCTATTACAAAGTACTTTTTGTCTGCATTTCTAAACTCTTTATAGTATTGTGTTGTAGTAATGATGTCAACAAATCAGATGACGTAAACATAATTATGTCAACTTGTCTGGAAGTGCAAAGTTTAATTCCTTTTGTCACATCATTTTCTTGGAGTGAAGTGAACTATAATTGTTTGGATATAATACAATTTGTTATTTAAATACTTGAAAAAAGATCTTTGATATCATTTAATTTCTTTAAAGTACTTTACCCGTATCCTATTATTTATCAGACGTCATCATAATTAAGACATAAAGTTTGTGATAAATAGGTTTTATATGTTTGATTCGAAATTTTAATTCTTAATCTATTTTAAAATTTAGAATATGTGTGTATACTCTAAATTTCTTAAGTTTTCTACAGAGCCTCCTGCTAAAGTAGTGTTATCAACACCAAGTTATCTTAAAGAAGGGAGTCTTGTTAACATCATATACCAGAGTCAAAGCTCAAGACCTTCACCGATTGTTTACTTAACCATTTCCGGTATAAATGTGTTGTCTGCTGACGTTAATACAATACCTTCATTCAATAAAGAAACTTTGTTAAACAACAACGCTACCACCTTGACAACATTTAAACGAGAATGGAATGGAAAGGACATCATCTGTTGTAGTTATAATAAATGGTACAGACAACCTAGATATTGTTCCAAGCCGGAACAAGTGAACTTTCTATGTAAGTGTTTAACGCTAAATTTATTATATAAGAGAAAGACATGTTCATGTTTCTGATCATTTACGAGATCTTTTGACAGAAAATAAATGAAACGGACTTTTAAGATGAATAAGTGCTAGCCAAGTAACTAGTAATACATATGTATCATTAAATAAATTGATTTTCCCGCCGTTTGCTTGGCTTATCTTTTATTATGATAGTGAATAGATAAACTTGTTTGGTAGCTTGTCACAAATGGCTGTATCCCACTGAGCTCATTTAATTAACATAAATTTCACAACTTAAACAATATATTCAAAGTATACCTTATTTGCGTTTAACTACACACAAAAATATGGAATATGTAATAAATTTAGCAACAGTGTTAATATAGTAGTTGCAATAACATCAAATTGCAAATGAAAGCCTGGAGGCTTTTTTCCCAAATAAATACTTCGGATATATACCAACAATAATAAACATTACGATTATAAAACCATAAATACAATAAAAACCAGTTTTAGAACATTTCATTTTAAGCTTTCATGACAAAAATACCATAATAGCAAGTGCAAATATTAATTTTCAATAATTTTGTTTACATGAGCTTTCAAAATACAGTATTAAATGAAGCATATACAGGGTTAAAATGTAATTGTTTCATTTATCAAAGACAAATTATTTTAGAAGAATAACACTAGTCACACCTTTTCTGCCTCCCATTTTTTAAGGACAAATTTCAAGATAGGTTTTTAAAACAGAAAACGAGACTCTGGTTTCCCGATTAAGTATAATGAGTATAAAAAAGACCGGTACTAGCGTAGGTGCTTTATCATGGAGTAATTTGATCCAGCCTACCCGGACCTTGAATTTCTTTTTAATGTAGTGATTAACTACAGCAGTGAAAACATGGTCATGATAAAATGTGATACTACCAATCTCGGACACAGTGCCACTATTCCATCATTTTCAAAACATAGAGTGTACATAAGTCTTTTAACGCTCCTGCTACGTCGAGCAACAACTGGGCAATCGCTGTTTTCACTACCCACATTTTGTTACAGAGTTTAGTGTCGGGCTAGAAATGCCACTTTTCATCCCCCGTGACAATTGCTCTCAGGCGTCTAGGGTCTCGATCTTTAAACCTAGTCAATAAGGCCGAGACTTATACAAAACCTCACTTTTCTGGTCACAAGTTAGCAAATGCGGGATCCAACGGACACCCACTTTCTTTAACTGTAACTTTTCTTTCAACTTGGAAAACACATATAGGCTCGATATCTCCTCCATGGTATGGTATACCTTGCATCTTCATCAACAATGGCTTAGGGTGGGGATCATCATGAACATTAGTTCTACCTTCCTTAAACATGAGATCCGCCTGGCAATTGTACGATATGAAAGGGAATTTTCTTCATAAACTGATGAGAATTTACCCAATAACCCACGAAATTTGCAATGAGCTCTTTTCTTCTCTCTCAAATCACAATGCAACCCAGCCATTTTTTTACAACCAGCACAGAAAACCACATTTTTTAAATGACCTAAAATTTATAACACGTGAAAATCGTTCAAAAAAAAGACTGGTGGTTAGAAAAATCAATAACCTTTCCAACGATATCTTTTACCTGTATTTTAACGTGCAAATCATGGTTAAATTAAGTTGTTGCCACTAATTAACATATGCCCCTCGTAACAGTGAGATTTTTGTGAGCGAAAACAATTGCCTTGTCATCAGCATAAAGGATAACTAGCATCTGTGTTAACACCAAGATACATGTTGTAGATTCACCTTATCTGTTCTGTAATTAATTTGAAGTAATTGTTTTTATGTATCAAGTCAAACAATCAATTTACGATATATTTCTTATGTGATTTTTTTTCAGTCCCTCCATCTGACATCAAACTTGAGATCAATTTTGACTCATTAGATCCACTTCGTATGTATGCTGTATGTACCCTAAACAATTCGAATCCGGCTTGCACGGTAAATTTTACTACAGCCGACAGAATCATCTGTTCAGAAAGGAACTCAAGTAACATTAGACTCCCAAATGGTGCGTGGAAAACAAAGTATTTCGTCCGCTTGGATGTCAATAAAGAAGACGATGGTAAAGATGTTACATGTGCTGCCGTTTGTACACACTTCCAAGACCTGGAACTTAGAGACACAAAAACAATGAAAGTCCCACGTAAGCTGATACACACCTCTTAATACAAAAGTTACACAGCTTAATTGTTGGTCACTTATATAGTTTAAATTGAAAAAAAATCATTTCTTATATATATAATGATTGCATTGAAGTTGAATGTGTTGAATGTTTATATTTTTCGTGTACATTTGTAATTGTCAATTTGTATATTATCGCATAACGCTGCTGCTTGTGTCTATGCTATGCAATATTTATAAGCATTACCTACGTTTTTCTTGCTTTATAATGATTTCTCGAAATCATTTATTAAAATTTTATATGACAACATCTTATAAAATAGTCCAAACCAACTTTCAAAATAGAGATTTAAACGGGAATTTCCAGAAATTAAAGCTATTGATTGAAAGAACATTATGCTTCAGAAACTGGAACCAGTGAATATGACGTGTCTTTCGCGAATCCTCTCTCTGTTTTCTTAAAAAATAAATCCCAGAAAAATTAGCCAATCTATAGTGCGGGTAACTAATACCTGCACTCTTGTTAACGCACTGTGCATGTATGTGTATACGATTTAACTCTGCTAAATTTTCAACAGAAAGGTCCCGTAATTATGATATCAACAAAATTAGATAATTTATACTTGTCAACATAAAATATCATCTCTTATTCTAAGGAAATATATTTTGAAATCTATAAAATGTTATCTGAATAATTATTAAAAAATACAAGTAATAGAAAGAGCATCGAAACACGAGGCTATTTGATTTGTACGAGGGGGCGTAGCCCCCGAATATAAATCAGATTGCCGAGTGTTTTGATGTTCTTTCTTTTTTGTATCATAGTCAAACATAAAAACATGTTCCCTGTTGTCACAATATGTAACCCCAAAAAAAGTAACCAATGCGACCATCTGAATATGATATTTCTGTCGCTTTCACTCTCTCTCTGCCGCCACAATATGTAAACCCAGCAAAATTAGCAACCAATAAATGAGCATGGTCTGGAGTGCGGGTAACTAATACCTGCACTCCAGTTAACGCACTGTGCATGTATATGTATACGATTTAACTCTGATACATTTTCAACAGAAAAGTCCCCAAACTATGATACAATATGTTATAATGTCTTTATTGCCAATGAGGGGTAAAAATTGCTGATAATTTAACAAGGTTTATAGTTGGATTATTAACGTTATGGTAACAAAGTTTAAAAATAAAATACTAAATTATTAAATGTTTTAAGTCAACTAATTGGATCATCATATAACTTCATACAGTTAAACTTCGTTCGCTCGCCGTCGGATCGCTCAAATACCTCCCTTCACTCGAACCGCGAGTCCCGGTAACATTCCTATGTAACAAATATGGAAGACGGACAAAATTCCACAACACAAAATGTTACAGAGTGAACAAAACCCCACTCCACAAAATCTTATAAAATGGACAGAACCCTACACATTGATTTCATAGAGTGGACAAAGCCACACACCTTTGATTTTTTATAGTGGACATAACATCACACGTTTAATTACTAGTTTGTAAAGACCTTTAATTGACAATAAAATAACCGCAATTGTTGTCACTAATTGATATTAATTAAATTATTTGAGTTTTATTTACCAGTTTGTAATATTTAAATGCCATCCCTTTGATTTTTATCTAACAGTGTTTTAATGATTGTATAGTCTATTATTGTTCAATCATATTGAATTGTATAATGAAATATATTTTTTTTCCACCTAGGATTGCTCGAACACCGATCGCTCGAACTCTCAAACCTGATATCTGGTATTAAGTAAAAGTCACACCTTTTCGGCCAAACACAAAAGAGATATTTACGTATCCTGAATAAGTGACAATAGGCGTCACATGTTTTAACACCTCGTGATCGTGATAAATGCGATTAAGGGTAACTGATAAAAAAGAATGGCGTTGTAACCGATTTGTGTTTTATGTGGGTCATGTAATATGTATTGTAACCGGGTTATTGATTATCATTTTATATACTGACACTTGTACACGTTTATTTTAGTATCATGACTTCAAATAGATGCTGCCGTATAAAATTTATTTTTTTATTTTATGAATTCATTACTCATAATTATAATATAAACCATAATGAACAAATAAATGAATTTGGAAATTGGACAACAAGTTTGGAAAATGATTGACCAATCAAATGGAACTAATTACAATATATGACTTTAGATTTAAACATTGTACCGTTAATACTCTTTTGATAAAATTGTATGTATTTGTCAATAATTATTCTGCATATTTAGATGAAATGACGTACACATTATAATTTATCCTGACACAATTCAAATATTAATCTGTCAAACTGTACAGGTTACATAATTACATTGAATATTGAATATGTATGATTTAATTTAACATTTTTAGTTTTTTTTAAACCTAAATTTCGTTTACTACGTAGTGGTGATAAATGTATCATTACATAGATTGTGCATTGGCTATATACATGTTTAGCTCATCCTAATCTATATATTACACTAACATTTATCCTGTTAGCGATATGTTTATGTATAATATTTTGGATTCATAAAGAGGAGAAAGGCTTTTATTCAAATCGTAGAAACAATGTCGGACGTTTTTTAAAGTTTTGTTTTCTTTATCACTTTTACTTTCTTTAAAGATAAGTACATACAATCAACACTTTTATAATGATATATTCCTTAGTCATTGCTTTTGGGCATTTGGGTCATTACTACGGTTAGACTGTGTTTGTTCTTTACCTGTATGTTTATACTTGATTTTTATCAACCATATTAAAATAATATTTTTATTCTCGATAAGTGATTACCTCGAAATCCATGATATCTAAATGCATTCAAGTGTATATTACGCAAAATATAAATAATTAGAAACGTGGTAATGTTGCAAATTGTTTAATGTAAGATTCGGAAAGTTACATAAAATACAGATTCGATTTCTTAATTTTCAAACTTTTTTTAGTCACTCCATAAGCAGGGAACAAGTCTTACTTGGGAGCGCAGGAACAATAACTTTTAGATGCGACATAACTGAAACAGATGTTGTACATGTATACATTATTCAGATACAACTTGTAAAGTCCACTACCGTTCTGGGAATAATTATGATGATTGGCATAGGTTAGCATTTATGAAAATATCCACTAATGAAAACCCAACATTAGATTCAAGTATTACAGCAGCTACTAAAGATTATGTTGCTGGTGGGTCATGGGATTCTCCAACACCTGCTAACACGTATCTTACATTCTCTATGAACATGGAGAAGTTAGTGAGTGATGATGCAAGGAGATTTGAATGTCAATTATCATATGACAATTTACCATCTGCGGAAAAAGTTATCAAGCATGCAACTTTCTTAGCATATGGTAAGTTTATTTCATCTAATAGCAGAAGCATGCACATTTTAGTATGTGAACATTCTTACAACTGAGGTGACTATGAGCCGTATGTAGTAGCCTGTTATTTGAGTCTTTCATTAGCCCACAATTTCTTTTAAAATTCATAGTGAATTTTGACTTTACAGGAATTATTCTAAGGTAGCCCGCTACAAAGATGTTTCAGTGGCCCGTAATGGGATATATATCAAAGAAAACTAAAAATAAGCTATGGAAATTAAAACAAAATATTCTTAAGAATTCCTGAAACGACATAAAAGAGCAGCTTAGATATGAAAACTTATGTATGTAACATTACCTCGTGCTAAAATAAAAAATGACCCTGCTGTTTTTGTTGGAAAGGCTCATTCTTTGACTTGTTAATGGACACATCAATCACCTTGTGTGAAAAGAAATTATATCTTGAGGATAATGCGTTTAATTGACTTATATACAAGTTATACGAATTATTGCTCAGGCGACAACATTTACTCCTTGAAAACTAAGCGTTTAATCAGATTTCTAGATAATTCGTGTTAAATGTACATTCCTCTACTAAAGTAACCTAACAGAACAGCTGATAGTATTTATTTACTTTGTATGATACCATATATGATACCATCTTATTTGTCAATTCAGCAGGAATTTATAGATTGAAAACTATACTGGCAACCTCTGTATTCACTATGAGCTTAGTAAAATTTTGAAAGCATTTTGGAAATTCGGAACAACAGCAAAATCCACATTAATTCAATATTAATTTTTTTTTAAGTACATGTTCTATACAAAAGAAACAACCCCGCCGAATAAGATTGATTTTTCACCAAAAGAATGAACAGGAAGTAATAACTCTCTCCAGGGTCGATAGATTTTGATGAAAGTCTACAAATTAAAGTGTTTCTTGCTTAAATGCTCAAATGGCCGCAGAACAAAATGGCTGCTATAACTAGCGTCAATGACTTGTTTGATTTTGATACAATTTTACAACAATAATTATTTTGTACCTGTTCTCCTTTACAAAAATGTTTAAAATAATAATTTTCTGTTGATTACTATAAAACAAATAAAAAGCTTTAAATTATAAAGCCTTCTGAGTCATTTTTTAGAGTTTGATGAAACTGTCAAAAGTTATTCTTTCACAGACATTCTTTATGAAATATGATAAACAAGATCAACAAGGAAAGGCGGCGTTCAATGAACGCTTTTGTAAAAGTGGAATATGTACTAAAACGTAAAGTACTAAAGCAATGTTTAACTTAATAAACTAATCAAATTAACTTATCTAACCTTATGTTATTCAAAAAACATAATGACACAACGAAACGCATTTCTTAAACGGGCTGAATTTTGAGGATATTGCACTTTTTTATATAAAATGCTGTCTAATAAATATATGGTTTACAATGTACACAACATTATGGTGAGGATAAATAGTTGAAACTAGGAATACGACAGGAACTCAAATATCTTTTTACTTAATACAAATGTAATAGGTTGTTCCTCACTGATAACTCTAGCAAAAGTATGTTCTATAGAATATTCAAGAACGAATTAAAACCAGAAATATCTTAAAAAAGAAGTAAAACTGGTTAACTTCCATATGTTAGTTCATAGTTTACATGCAAAGTCATATCGAAATTTTAGCATAG